CTTATGGCAAGTATTCCATTCTACCAAAAACGCAACGAGATATCACATTCGAGGAAGCCGTCTCCACACTCATGAACCTGTTTGGACCACAGCAATCGTTATTCAGTCGACGTTATGCCTGTATGAAACTCACCAAGAACCCAGACGACGACTACATCACCTACGCAGGACAAGTCAACCGTGAGTGTGAAAAGTTTAAGTTATCTCAGTGCGATGAGAACCAGTTCAAGTGCCTTATTTTCGTGAGTGGTTTACAATCTAGTGAGGATGCTTTTATACGCCTCAAACTGCTTGACAAGATCGAATCCGACCCAAATTGCACGGTCCAGTCGTTAACAGAAGAATGTAAACGAATCATCAATCTGAAACAGGACACTCAGATGGTGGAAACCGGTACACCTAAAGTTCATGCAGTTGAACACTTGACTCCAGGACGTCAACAGCAGCTACACCAATCCCGAAAATTTCTTCAAGCAGATAACAACAGGACAGGAAAAAAACCTTCACATAAACTTCCTCCAAGCCCATGTTGGTATTGCGGAGCAATGCATTTCGTCCGATATTGCTCCTATCGACACCACAAATGCTCAGTCTGTCGCAGGCACAGGACATAAGGAAGGATTCTGCAATTCAAGAAAACGACACCGCCCGACACACAAACACAAAAAATACGACCACACCGCCCGACACACAACAACCATCGTCCCATGAACTCGACCACGCGATCAGATGCTGTTTTCACCGTATCAAGCAAGGATAACAGCTACCGCCGATTTGCAACAATTCTGGTAAACAACAAACCCATTCAATTCCAGGTAGACACTGCCGCTGATATCACTATTATCAATGAAGCGACATGGAATGCTATGGGCAAACCTCAACTGCAGCCTTCGTCACTCATCGCGCACAGCGCATCAGGCGACCGTATCAGTTCCTCGGTCAGTGTGGGTGTAACTACAGTTTCAATTCAAAAATCGGCACAAGGACTATTCTACGTTGGTCGTACCCAACCAAATCTACTAGGTGCAGAATGGATTTCGAAGCTAGGAATCTACCGCATCATGGACTCCCTTCCTTGCACCCCATCCCTCCATCCCGAACACTCAACTGCACTCAAGATTACCAAATCGACAGTCAGCGACAAGATCGCCAGAAAATTGCGAACCGTACTCTCGCTGCTCAAGCCGATTCAACAGCGGACCTCAAGACACAACACGATGATGGAATCACAATTCAATAGCAGCATGGCGCTAAGAAACGTACTTTCAGCACAGGAGATTTAGTGCTAGCACGCCAGTACAGTGGAAACCATTCAGATGGGTAATGGAAAGGGCTTCAAGAATCGGAAGTTACTCTACAATGCTATACGAAGTTATTACGGATCATACGTGAAATAACTTCGGCCCTGCTAACACGTCGAAGAGTTTGGTTGGTTCTCCTGCTTGTGAGGTTGACTGCGATGACTGCTGTTGAACGATTCCTTTCAATGCGTCCGTGAGTGCCATCAGCATCTGCTGGAACTGCTGGTCCGTCGTCGTCATAGTCCTGATCGCCACTGTTATGTCGGTAGCCGTACAGAAGATGCAGCTTTATTCGGAGTTCATAAACTAAACCATACTGAAGTCAGAGGCTTATATAGGGGAGATGTTTTCGAGAGAACTCGAAAACAAGTGATACAAAAGAGATCATTTATTGTTCATCCATAACAGTATGTTAGGAGGATTGGCAACATATCGCATCTATGAACGCCGGGCGGGGCCAGTTTGATCAACGTCCACCTAATCCATTAAGCATAAACTACTAGCTTTATCGCATAGGCGGAATTTGTAGATCGATGCGTATGTTTTCCTATCAGCATAACCGCCAAGTCGCATCAATCGCGATCTATGAAAATGGAGTCAAACCAAACCTCGCCAGGTCAATGCATCCCATACAGTTACATCTGCCAACAAGTGCACCAACACATTTGCCGTTAGTGCAGTCGTCGTCGCTGTAGCACATTTTGGTTGGGAAACACTAAAAGCTCTCCTCAATAAACGACTACGGTATTTAATACTGAAGAAAAAGACTTACTCCTCCAGATGAGTCGTCTTCCTGTTTGTTGCGCAACCGCGTGTTTCCGGGGGATGCAACGGCGTTGAAAGTTTGAATCTTGGTTGAACCAGGTCCCTCCTCAATGGGAAGGCTATACGCTGAAAAGAGTAAAATCCGAAAAAAAAACTAGCAAAATCGGATTGTTCTGAGAAAACTACAAATACTCACCGATGGCAACGACAAGTGAGAAAATTAGTAGAAATTTCATATCCTGATGTGTTGACTAGGTAGATTTGCTAAGAAGATTCCCATGGGTTGCACTTTATACCCTCTGCAGATCATTTATGGATCGCTGAAGTTTTCGAGATCATTTTGGAGCTAACCAAGAGGATTGAACTTTTATAGAAAAAATTTTCGTTGTGTATCAAGCCAAATTTGAAAATTTTCGTCGCACCATCAAAATTCGCCGCAGATCTGTGTTGCGCGCGCAATGCGTGCGGCGCCAACTGGTAGTATCTTTATTCTTATAATTTCTGCCCACCCTGCACAGTGCACAAAATTTCAATGTCTTAAAATCCTGCGCAGTAGCTTGATCCGTCACACCTCGTACGTTATATGAGCTTGGTTTCCACAACCATGTAAAGCATCCGCTGGAGTACGTAACTCTCACCATGCTGTGAAAATAAAACTGTCAGCCTATGGTAGCAACACTTATCATAGTAGGCTAGAATCTACATAAACTTACAAGCTCTCTGAAGCGCCAAAAACTGAATTACGGAAGTTGGGCAGCGGCACCTCTCCCTCCCTGCCCAGCCCTCCCTTTGCATCCCTTATCCAAATTTCATTTCAGGCTACAAATTATAGTTCAAGCAGTTTTTTGGTAAGGGTGACATGATGCAGAGGACCTTAGACATTTAAAACTAACAAAAGTCTAAAGCAACAAAAGTCTCACCTGACTAGAAAAGAGAAAATACGCTTTTTTTCTGCAATGAGAAATTGGTTCACTCACCCCGTAGAGAGAGATTCACTCTTCAATAACCGGATTACTGTAATCGGCCGACTACCCTAAAATCCCATAGATAAGAGCGGTCCATAGATATTTTTTCAAAAATAAAATAAAAATAAAAATATTTTTTCAAAATCATTTTTTACCGGTAAATTAAACCGCTCTTATCTATGGAATTTTACTGATCGAATGGGCTCTTCAAGTTCTATCCAGAGATCAAATTCCGGCATTTCTAGAGAGATTCCGGCAGAAATTCCGTTAAAATCGCTATTTTTCTATATGAATTGTTTATTAAGTGGGCGGGGTTTAGAGTTGAGGGACGGAGCTTCTTCTAAACTTCTTCTCCGATTTTTATTTATCCATCCATCAAGTTAGAGGGGTGACTGCATTCAATTTCAATTTCATTTCAATTCATTTTTCACCGGTAAATTAAGTAGGTCGCTAGGGCTTCTCACAAGATATCACCACGTTGGGGGCCTTGGGTGCGGAACAGTAGACCCCTTTTGCACAATTTATCGTGTCATCTGCCTTCAGGCTTCCTAGCCCGCTCGATATGGCACTCTCCTATCACTAATGTTATCTACCGTTCGAGTACGCATATCAGCGAGCTGTTTTTTTTTGCATTTCCCAGGTAGTGCTATTCCAGACTTTTTGTAGCCTATGTGTAATACGAACACCATTTTTGGTTATGTACAGTCGAGAAGCACTACATCATTTAGAATGATTAACATCGAAAGACAGGGTGGTCCAGAAAGACCAACAAAACTTCAGTAGATCTCCCAACCCATTTTCAATATCATATGTCAGCCAGAAAATCCTGCTGCTTAAAGGAATCTTTCACTAAAAATGCTTGCATTCTTTCACAAAATGATAAGTCAGTTGTGATTACTGGCAACAACATACAAGATTTTCACCACGAAGATTCAGTTTCCGAAAAGAAACACTTACGGGAAACAACACCCTATGGACAGTCAAAGNNAAGTAGNTTGGGCGACCCCAAAGGCCGGGAAAAAAAAAAAAAAAAAAAAAAAAAAAAAAAAAAAAATATGGAAAGATACAGTATGCTCTTTGCGGCGGCCACGTATTAGGCGGCGCATTGAAAGAATCTAATGAAAGCGTTCGACTTTCGGAGAGTAGAAACAAAACGAGCGCTATGGAGTAGGATGCAGTATAAGTGTGATATGTTAATGGAAGGGTCAAAGGTTGAAAAAAGCTTCAAGTGACAGCACTCCGAGAACCAAGAGAAGTGTCCCCGCTCCAAGCAATTGTGACAGATGTTCGGTGGGAACTTGAACGCGTAGCAATCCTTCCTGCTTTTCGATTGTTCACCAAAACAAATCCAATTTCCTCGATCTTTTCGTTTTTATCGTGAATGGTGGGTCTAGCCAGTGAATTATGGGTAAGATAGAATCATGCTTTTTTCGAGGTGGATTCCTTCAACAGACACACACGCCAACCCCAGCAGGGTGAATATCGCTTGAGGATTCCTCAACGGCACGTCGAGGATTCTCTGCCCGATCAGAGACGATCTCTCGCGCGGACATTCACACTCGCCATGCCGTGCCGTCTGTGCTCTCCGCGCGGATGTTCACTCTCGGCACTACTCTCGCATGGTAGAGAGCTATGGTCGAGGAAATCCTCGACCGTTATTCACCCTGCACCCCATACCCCTAGTGCTCAAAGTTTTCCCCATTCCGAGCTACATCACCCTAGCCTTGCCATCCTCGTATATACTAATTACGCAACTCACGATGTTCTACTGATACCTGAACAATATTCAAGTCCATGCTTCTGCATTGTTCAAGAAGTATAAGGTCGAATGTCTCACAATCAAGCAATCGAATTACTCTCTTTGAAAAGAAAATTGGAGGAAATATTTATCGAATCGCGTAAAAGTCATGCTATCTCAGAGGGCTTGGGTGAAATCTGAACATATAATGGTTAGGGCATCTTGAGTGTGCTAGCATTGGCATTTGCCAAAGTGGCATGGCAATCCGAAACACTTTTCGACGTGATCCCTATCGGTGCAGCTCCTCTGGTTGCAGAGACCATGGAGTGCATCAACATAGTACGGGAAACCAGCTCCCTTGAGTCCCTGAAGAACAGCCCATTGTGAAAGATAAGATTGCCAGAAACAGTGGAACTTGTAAAGAACGCAGCGAACGCGTGTGGTGCAACGCGGTCGATAAAACTTGTTACTTCTGGACAAGTGTCTTAGATTTACAAAAATGGGGTAGCATGTCGATGAGGATTCCGGGAGGAAACTTACCGTCAAACAATCACATGTCTTTGTTGACTGATTGCAGGCTCCTTTCA